AATCTTCTTGCCTGTGGCTTGTTCACTGCTCGAGGTTGTCTTCGATGTCTTAACGACTGACAGTGGGTTTTGTCTTGGACCTATGTCTACTCTCTTTGTCGACGTCACGATCCCGTGACATCTGGTGCAGGCAGTGCTGCTTCATGTATCGGACGTCCCCTTCAAGCCGTGTACACAGCAGCACACCAGACATCCCAGGGTTGTGATTTAGACGAAGGAAGCAGACTATAGGTCTAAAACGGAAGTGTTCATTTGGCCAAACTTGTGACCAGTGAACAGGAAAACAAAATGCAGCGACACACACTTGCATGGGCAGCGGCAAACTGAGCCTCTGCCATCGAATAATATGCAAGCGTCGGACTTCATGGGCATTTAAGCATATGCTTTGGAATATTGAAGCATTATCACTGGTTGTCGTGCAAACTCTGGAATATTCGCGAGTGTTTACGTCTTGCACGCAGTTTCAACAGTGTGATCAACAATAATTCCGAACCTTCTCGAACATGTAGGCGCAGTTAGGACTGGTCATTTCTAACAGGCTTTGTGAGTGAAAACTCAGTGAAAACGGTAAAATAAAAAATGCACGTGACACTAAACATTTTTTCTCAAATTACTCCTATATAGTCGTTATACGAAACCAAATGAATTCTGCCTTTGCATAACGTTTACCGTTCACACATTTCTTCACATCAAATATTCCAGATTATGAACATTTCGCGTTAACGATTTCTACCAATAAATGACAGTATTTACGACTAGCGCCCATGTCTAACGTGCAGAATAAATGGTTACTGCTTCTGAATATATTGTATTTGCACTGAAGTCTTAGAGACTGCTATTTTGAATGAGTGCCTACTCCTTTCTTCCACAACAAGCGTGGGAGTACTGCAAGCAGTCTTAAGTCTAGTAACAATATCCGTGACATCTCGAGAAGCTTCAGGTCTGACGCAGTGAACATGCGACTTTCCGTGACGCTGACACCTTTGACGGACCTTTGAAGGAAAGAAGTCCGGTCATTTTGAGTGCACTGAGGTGTGCAACATAAGTGAAGTTTTCTTGTCTGTGTCGTTGACTACAAGCGCTGCTCCAAAGATCAGCAAAATATTCTTCATGCATGCTAAAATTCTTCGAGCAGAACATTTCATTATTTCAAGGTCTGACCGTTTGAAAATGTTAAATCACATTATTTTGAATTGTCGCTGTGCTCAGGTGTGCTTGAAAGTGTTATTGGAGACACGATCTTTAATTCTTGGATTAGTCAATGCTTGAAACACTCATTTTGAAGTTTATTTACCAGTACATCGGCCAGTATATATATATTTATATTTATATATGTACTGGTTGATGTACTGCTAAGCACCTTTCACCTTCGAAAAATTTTATATATTTTTTTTCATGACTAGTACGCATTGTCGCACGAATGCATTGTGAAGGTGCGATACGATACAGTATATATATTTTTAGAGCCAACATAGACTGCGCACTCCACCAACCACTTACACTGGGGCTCAATAGTGCGATCATCGCAAAGAAGCTTAGTGGTGAGTTCTTGTGCGCTTTTGTGACAATTTCACAATTTTTAAAGGACAGCTCCGGCGATTTTTTGGCCATGTCAAGATAACGGTGTTTCCATGATATTGAGGCACTCTTGTCACGAGCAGAATAGCTAAAATGCTCAGGAAATTCGAAAAGATATTTTAATAAGCAAAAAGGTGTATTACCGAAACCGAACCGGGTGCCGTGCCTGTGTATGACGTACTATTTATTAAGAACAGGAGGTCATATACTGGTCTCGGCGGCGCGGAGTATGAAAACTGTGAAAGCCAGACCAGAAAGCTTTCCCGTGCTATACCCGTGCCAAAAACCGCCGCCATCGCTTTGCGGCCAGAAAAATAAACGCCGTAGCGGCTAAAGTAGCGATTTCATTGGCTGCATCACTTCGGTTGCCATGCCAAACATGAAGTCACACAGAGAGTGTTGCCAATAATTCTGGCAAGCAAGGCGAGCTTTTCGAGGCACTCTTTAAAATTTGTTCGCAAACAATCAGTGCATTTGTCAAGCCTGTATTTTGACATAAATGACGGAAATGTGCCAAGGAACGTACCCAGCAATTTTCATTGAGATCCATCAACGTCAAAAAGTTGCCCGAGTTGGCCTTTAAGATTATCAGGTAAACTAGAGCACAAGTCTCTAGAAAACTCTATGAAAAATTATTTGACTGTAGGCAAATGTGATAGAGAGGAGTTGTAGTTTCGAACCTCATTTTCCTGCAATGCAGGGCTGAAAATTTTACTGAAAAGCATGTCACTCTTGCACCCATGTTGCTGTTGAGCCGAATAGATACTCTCACACCCAGACCAGTCTGTACTGGGCTGCCAAGGCAGCCAAGTCTTGGTTCTATTAAACATGGCAAGCTGCAGCTCGTAGATATCTAAAAAAGACAACCACCCATTTGCAGCAGGAAAGCAGCTCTGAAGTACCTCTGAGTGCAAAAAAAAAATGAAACACTGGTTAGCCCCTTTTTCGGTGATGTAGTACTCATCTGACCCCTACAGCATCACCTTTGGGTGCCAAAACAAGCAGTGCAGCAGAAAAAAATTGCATAAGGCTATCTTCAGCCATCAAAATGATTCAGAGGATTGCTGTCGGTGTGGTGTTTTCAACATGAACGCTAGGCGGTAAGTTTTTTCAAATAGAAAAAAAATATGATCCGAGTGAGAATGCGCTAGAACGCTAACAACGTGAATTCTAGAGTCATGTCCACCTCTTGCACTTAATGATTATCAAATTTATGACGCACAGCTTAGGAGGAGACAGAACCCCATTTCGTAAGGAGAGCACACTTAGCGCCTAATACCTTCCAGAATCCCCTTTGACGAAAATGTTGTGCAAGGTTCCGCTTTCAAGTAAAGTCAAGCCGCTCACGTTGTCTTTTCAAGCAGTGTGTTGTCTCTAGTGCTTTTGAAGGCATTTACGTGTTGAAGATTACAAGTTTTTGTCTGCAAACTTTCATTAGGACGAAATATTTCTTAGCAGGTGGCTAGAAATTTGTGCGCTTGTTTCAGTGTTTTATGCACCCAAGTTTATTTGAACACAAAGGATCTGAGCAGACTATAAGAATTTGCACGTACGTGAACACAATTCGTGCCATTCTCTTTTACATTCTTGACGCACTTGTGGTGCAAGCTTGAACACATTCATTTTAAGCCCATATTTTCTTCCTAATATATTTGGTTGTGATGTCACATTGGTGCTTCACTAAATGAGCTGGAAGACAAAGTCAGCATTTCACCTTGTTCAAGCGTAATCGTTTCCGTCAGCATGAAAACACACAGATTTTGGTGGTGTTATCGACAACAACGAGAATATGTTTCTTAGCTGTCAGATTTGCGTTGCAAAAAGCATCGCTGAGCTGAGTCATGGAAAAGTGAACGTAATGAAGACAAACTTTAGCCAAGAATACAGGCACCTTAACAGTGATTGATGATTATTATGTGCAGTGTAACGCCCCAAAACCGCTGTAAGATTATGAGAGACGCCGTAGTGGAGGGCTCCGAAAATTTCGACCACCTGAGGTTCTTTAATGTGACACAAATTTGAGCACACGGGCCTACAACAATTACACCTCTATTGGAAATGCAGCCGCCGCAGCCGGGATTCGATACCGCGACCTGCGGGTCAGCAGGCGAGTACCATAGCTACTAGACCACCGCGGTGGCGAGCACCTCAACTGTGGTGCGACGATTGCCTACACAGATGCCTTCGTTAGAACCAGTGCTTTTTCGCCATATCCAATGCTTCCGAACTTGCCTCGACGGATTGTCGTTCCCAACACAAATTCTGCGTCAACCTGAGCCTTTCGAAGCATAAGCGAAACCTACTGAAAAATCCACTCCTGCAATTCGCTCTTGCTTCCGTCGTCTTCAAGAATTTGACAGACCCCAGTCACAAAACAACGTAACGTAGCAGAAGAAAGTGCCCGACCAATCCACTAAAGCCCTTATCGGGTTTCGACGTGAGAACATACAGTAAAATAAGAATTGACCACTGTCGCCAAAAGCGGCAGCTCTACGCAGCTTCACGCCGGCCTTATGATGTCAACAACTCACTCACTGCTTTTAAGGGAAACGCGTATCTAGTTGTCTACTACAATACCTTTTCTAGAGCATTACATGTCTACGTGTCTTTGCGACTGCAGTATTCGTCTTTATTCCTTTGTGTGCCAATGTCGGGCAGGATCTGGCATGAACCAGATTCGAGAAAAGCGCATGCACATGGCAGTCGACGCGATGGCAACGTTGTCACACAACGTGCTCACGACCATTTAAGGTAATGAAGTACGAACAGCAGCAGGCAGACGTGATAAAATATGTGCGACAGCGTGCCCTGTGAGCGTCGGGGTGTTCGCTTGCTGTCATTTTACGTTCCTGTTTATGGGAAGGCGTTAGACAAGAGCGGTGCACAACCCGCCCAAGATGGTCGGCGAACTCATCAGTGATGTCACAACTGCTGTGTAGACTCTAGAGATATAGACGAAACAATATAATCTCTCAACACTGTGAGCTATAGCTATTCCGTGGCGCATGCATTGGCGACAGACGACCTGTGCTTGATGATCAGAGTGGCGATCAGAGCCACTCTTGTATTACATATCACATGCAGGACATCAAATCCGTGTGATTTCTTTGTTCACACTGCTGACTGGCGTGCTTTTAAACAGTATCTTCAAAGGTTTCCAAAGCCGTTTTGCGTGAGAGAAAAAGAATTGTTTGATGATTTCTCACAGAAAAAAGTGTAGTAATATTAGGAGTGTAAAGATGTTCCCACCAAAACTAAGAACCATTTAGATGTCCATCGAAATAACTCAGAAAGCATGTTTTTTCGCTAAAGTTGCTTCTCAAGACGTTGCACCGACAGAGTCTTGAAATATTACATCAAAATCTGTGAAAATAAGGTATATTTGTTTCAGCCATGCCTCGTTTTTTTATTTTCCAGATTCATATCTATTCCTGAAATCCATAATGATGAAAATTACTATAATTGCAGTAATTTTGCTACAGGCATCTCTCAGCCATTGTATACGTAGAGGTCAGTGAAATATGTATTTTCTTGTGTTTCGAAAATAAATTGACCTAATTATTTCTCTTCTGCAAGAGCACTATACTTTGATGACAACAATCATTAGTATTGGTACAAAGAAGGCAACGATTGCTTGGCCGGCTCTATAACAATAACTTATATTGCGTTCAAGTGGTAGTGCGCAAACATTATTACCGCAATATGGAGCAGATACGCTATCCCAGTGCGCACTCCAGATGAATATGTATACTATTTTTACTAGTGTCACGTGCCCAGTACAGCTAAAACACTATTTGTGCATTTACTAAACGTAACCTGTTATGTTGTTTCCCATCACTGTAGTGAATTCTGGCAGACACTCGTCGTCTCGAACCGCGCTCCAGAAGCCCTCGTGGCTGCCTCGTCTTCACATAGAGAGCTTTTTTTCGCAAGTTGCGTCGCCGCTAATTTCTACTTCTTTCGCTCCCCGCGCCACCGGCCCTCCGCTCTTCAATTTTGGTTTCGGATTGCCGCTTCATGTCCTTCATGCTTACACATAACCAATAAAACTTGACTTGTGTGTTTTTTCGTCACACTATCCTCCTACTGAAGAAAGTTGTTTCGGGTAAACAACTTTATACAAGCGTAGAAGGCATAAGGCACACAAAAACAAGAAAAAACGTCAGGAGTAACAGGTGTTCTGTCTAGTGCGTCAGAAAATACAGCGCTTAGCATGGTAAACAAGTATTACTGCCACTCAACGCTGCTCAGTGGAGAGTTCAAGCGCGGCTGAGGTAGTCGGCACCTATGTTGTCGGCACCCTTGATGTACTCGACTGTAAAATCGTGTTCATTGATTAAAAGGCTCGAGCGGAGTACTCGGCTATTTATTTGCCTAGCAGAATTTATGTAGGTGAGAGCTTGGTGGTGAGTCTGTAGCACAAAGGGCTTGCCAAAAAGGTAAACGTGGAACTTTTCAATGGCCCATACAAGCGTGTCAGTGCTTCCCTCTCAACAGTTGAGTACCGGGCTTCATGTGGTAGCCGTTTACGGCTGGCGTAGGTCACTGGATGCAGCACACCTGCATGCCGTTGCACTAAAACAGCTCCAATGCTAGTTGAAGAGGCGTGTCTTCGAAGTATGAAAGGCTTTTGTAAGGCTGGAGCTCGTAATACTGGACTGGACGATAAGAGACGCAGCGTTTCGAAAGGCTGTAGGTGCTAATCATCCCAAGTAACCTTGTTGGGCGCCCTCTTCCTGGTATGTTAAGTCAATGGGGGTCACGTCGGCGTAATTGAGCACGAAGTCTCTGTAGTACACGGTGAGGCTTAGAAACGACCAAACTTCCTTCTTTGTTTGTGGCCTCTTCGCGGCCTGGATCTTGTCTAACCTCTCTATCTGAGGTCGAAGGAGGTTATGGCCCACAATGTGACCAAAAAATTTTGCGGATCTGAAGCCGACCTCAGTTTTCAAGGGTTGATTTATGAATAGTGCAGCCTTTACATGCTATAGAAACTGCGTAAGCGTTGCGATGTGTTCACCCAGGTTTGTGTGGGGACTAGCACATCATAAAATAATAATATATATAAGGTGTGCCCTCAACCCCTATTCTCATGAGGTGAATGAACACTGAAGGTGCAGTCTTGATGCCGAAAGGCATGAACCAAAACGTGTAATGGCCTGGCAAAGACTGATTTCACGGTTTGCAAAATCCTTTCAATTTGGCCACGTGCCGGACGACTGGAAAATCGCCAGATTCAAGCCACTCCACAAAACCAGAAATAAGCAGCACATAAAAAATTACCGACCTATTTCATTAACTTCAACTGCATGCAAAATGTTGGAACACATCATTCACAAACATATTTTGGAGTTTCTTGAAAAAGATAAATTTCTAACAATCAAGCAGCATGGTTTCCGTAAAGGCTATTCAACAATAAGCCAATTGGTACAAAGAGCACATGAGTTCGCAAGTAATATAAACAGCAAAAATAGACAGACGCTATATTCATAGACTTTTCGAGAGCTTTCGATAAAGTCTCTCATCAGAAACTACTGCGTAAATTAGACATAATTCTTAAAAATCCTAGACTAATTATTTGGATTTCAGATTACCTTATTGGGCGTAGACAATTTGCTACTTTTCAGAATCACAACTCTGAAAAGCTTTCCATTGACTCTGGCGTTCCCCAGGGTTCGGTTCTTGGGCCTCTTTACTTTTTGCTGTATATAAATGGCCTTGCAAGAGATCTACTCGTTAAGAAAACATTATGCCAACGACTGTATCTTATACTCCGAAATAGATAGTCCTCGTGATCAAATCTTACTAATTGATGCTTAGGAAGGTTGTTGCCTGGTGCAAAGATTGGCAGACGTTGGTCAAGTTCGAGGAAACTGTTTTTAGCATTACTCGCAAAAAGAATAAGCACAGTTTCAATTACACAGCTCACAATGTTTCTCTATCTGAGGTAACAGAATTAAGGTACCTGGGCTGGTGAATACCTAACAACCTGAAATAGAATATACACATCGATAAAGTAACCGCTAACGCCTGCCATAAATTGTTTTTTCTTAGGAAGGCGTTAAAGCTGTCTACAAGTTCTGTACGCCCATTAGCATATAAATCAATTATACTTCCAGTCCTTGACTATGTCGCCATTATTTGGGACCCCTGTACGCAAACTAACATTAAAAAACTCGAGCGGGTGCAGCGCAAGGCAGTTCGCTTTATTTTCAATAACTTCACCGGTACCTCTGCAACTGAACTTCTAAAACAAGTCAAATTGCCTGCACTTACGGACCGCAATCATGCTTCTCGACTAAAATTTTTATATCAACTTATCAATAAACAGTACAATATAAACCTATCTGATATAATAACTTTTTCTTCTGGTTATGCCACAAGACAGAGGCATCGCCTAACAATTACCTAACAATTACTCTATTCAGCGTAAAAAAACAATTGTTTCAAATTTTCTTTTTTTCTTCGAGAACGGTGACTGAATGGAATAACCTGACTAATACCCAAGTTACACAACCGTCACTGTCTTCATTTGCTGCAAACATCTGTTAATTATTTTCTAATATGACCTCCTTCATAATATGTATTTCTTTTTGCCGATTTTTGTATAGGGCCTGTCTTGCTACGCGCAATAGCCTAAAGCAATGTATTCGTTCGCCTAACATTATTTGTTCTACCCTGTTTTGTTTTGTTGCCTGCATTTGTTCGACAATATGCTGTATTTCCACCCTACTAAAATCCCCTATAGAGATTGCAGTACCTGTAAATAAAAAAAATGTGGTTAGGGCCTCTGATGATTCGTGCATTGGCAGCTGCCCATAGCCTTTCGTAAAATCGAACTGCGAAAAGTATCGGCTTTGACCCAGTTTAGAAACCATCATTTCTACGTGAGGAATTGGTTCAATGCCAGTTACTACAATTCGATTGAGCTACCTGAAGTCAATACAATGTCCTATGTTCCCGTCTGTTTTCTTGACGGCTCCGATCGGCGCTTGATACGAAGACTCTGAGGGCTAGTGTTAACATGTACTGTACTTCTTTTACAGTGAAAGCTGTGATGAGATCACTACTCGCGTCACGCGCAGTTGCATGTTGTCCGCCGCCGCCACCGCAGCTGGTGTCCATAACCACATCGCGCGAAATCAGAAAACACAAAACTTGAACCAATGACACAGTGGGGCTTCAACCCGGATCCGCTAAGTGACAGCTCATTAATCTACCACTGCGTTACACCGGTGCTTATTACTTGTAGTCAAACTTGCCTTAGGCAGGCATGACGAAGCACCAATGGCATAGTGTGGCTCAAACCTGGGTCTGCTGGTTGCCAGCCCAGTATTCTACCGCTGAGCTACTCCGGAGCTTCTGATTTGTTCTCAAACTTGCTTTGGGCAGGCTTGATGCCGGGAAAACAATCGCGTTAATACGACTTATAAAGCGTTTACAACTGCGAAAGAACAACCACTCATCGCACATTGCAATTAGCGTAACGAGTGGGCTGTCCAATGTTCCCATTCATTACAAAAGCTTGTTCTTGTTTTCCTATTAACTATGGCGCATACCTATTTCAGCCATAATTCCTCATCGCCGTGAGCCGCTGCAAGGACAATTTGCACAAAATTCCTAGCAAGTGTTTAACGGATGCCACGCTTATCAGATGATTGACGAAAAAATAGCATTGCGAATGCCGGCCTACTACCCAAAAGTTTATTATCAATGCCCTAGTGCGTACCAAGGAAGTGTTCTTGTAATCGTTACCCAATGATTGCTTTGAAAATGCTCTTAAAGGCTGCTCTTCTAGCTTTCGCTGTGACTGTGCTGCGCACCCCGCGCAGGCCTGCTGTTTTTTCGACAGCTTCTTGGATGAACGTATCTTCAACGGTGTGTCAAAGGCAAAGCGTGACTTGCACTTGACAAGAGCCGTCTTGCCCGGTACATAAAAAAACACGTTATGAAACTCTTTCAGAAGTTCAAAAATTTAGCCTCTCTGCGGCCCGTTGTTGCAGAGCAACAAAAAGAATATCTCGCTCGTGCGCAGTGTCTGGCTGTACAGTAACAGCAGCGTGTTGTACTTCATTCTCGAGCACTCTTTCCTCGTTTTCTATAGAAGGTAATGAGAAATAACGTTCTCTGAGCTCCGAGATCTATTACATAGTCATAGTCATTTTGTTTTTCGACGACCGTGAAGGGTCCTTCTCATGTCAATAATAGCTTTTTTTATCTGATCGTAGCAGTAGTAATACCTCATCTCTGGGCAACAGCTGACGAGCTTTCACTTTCTTGTCGTAATATTTATTTTGCGTGATCTTGGCCTTGAGGAGTTCTTCATGGGCCACATTGCATGTGTTCTGCAGTTGCTCCTGGAGATCGATAACATTCCCATATATTGTTTTTGTGTCGGAATCGATGTTCATCCCTGTCCGCAGTTTCTTAAAAATTGGCATTGGGCTGCGTACAAATCTACCATAGGAGATCAAATGGGGAGAATTCATTGCTCGTTTTCGGAACTTCCCGGTAAGCAAAAAGCAGGGAAGCCAAATACCGGTCCCAGAGTTGAAGCCGTTTTTGACACATGCAGCGAATCATTTGTTTGAGGGTGCCGTTAAATCTCTCCACAAGACCGTTAGCCATGGGGTGATATGGCGTTGTGGTTAGTTGCCGAAACGAAATTAGTCGACCGTTTATCGCATTAGAATCGAAGTGAAAGATATTCTTCGGTCGCTGACTATCTTTCGTTGCACTCCAACACGGGAAGACATCTGTACTAGCTCTTCCGCTATGCGCTCCATCTCGATGCTCGGTAGGGCCAAGGAATCCGGATAATGCGTAGGAAAGTCTACCATGGTTAAGGCATACTTGTTCACTTTGGATGACGTTGGGGACAGAGCGCCGATAATATCAATAGCGACCTGGTGAAAAGGTGTGTCGATAATAGGCATATTCTCCAACGGCACTCTTCTGACGAGGTGTTTCGGCATGGTCCACTGACATATGTCGCGTGACTTAACAAACCGTATGACATGCGGTACGCCCGGCCAACATAACTCTGTAAGGACAAGTTCTGTTGTCCTTTTTTGCCCTGGCAACCCGCCAGAAGGCCTTCATAAGCTATCCTCATCTGGGTGTTCCGGAGGGCCTTGGGGATTACAAGTTGTTTCATGTCTCACCTTTCTGTCATTTGGTGGCTCCGGAAAAGAAGGTTGTGTACCAGTACAAACTCAGCAACTGCCGACTTCTTCGATATGACTTTCTTCCCCAATGCGGCGACGCAGGTTTTTAACGTGTGATCTGTGTGCTGTAATTTCTGCAGCCCTTTCCTAGTGGTTGCATCTAGTGGTTGGGTCAAAGGAACATGCAATGCTTTGTCCTTTTTTCTTTCGTTCTTTGCACCTACCATAGCGTCATCTTGCAGTCCTCTATCCGATGAGGTTGCGCCTTCAAATTGTTGTACAGGGCCAAGTGGATCATGGTGAATCCATGGTTTTTCATCGTCGTGCTGGCTCCTGTACTTGGTGCGTCTCTGACGATACACATTCAATGTTACCCAGCACAACGTCATATAACGGATTCTTCATACAAACAGCAAGTACTTCGCCCTTGAATAGCAGAAAATGAAGGTACAACTTTAGTTCGGGCAAGTCTTGCGCGGACTGGTCTAATAGATGAATGGTACGAGTGTTACCGGTTAGCAGGCACTCAAGAACCAGTGACTGTTTCACCACGACGGTGTTCCATCCGGTATCCCGCAATATGGTCACAAGCTTTCCTTCCAGATAGCTCTTTACTGTTGGCATCTGCTTTGACCCGTTGTCGCTACTTGCGTTGCTCTGAGTCGTCTCGGGTATGTTTTAAAGGGGGTTCTGCTCTAGCTTGTCTGGCCCACCATTCATTGATTTGACATGTAGCGACTCTTGTGCTGCCAAGACAGAGCATGAGGCCTATCATCGCTGTCGAGAGTTTGAGGGGCAACTACCAGGTATGGGCCCAGTCTTCTTGCAAACCCTGCACAAAATCGGCTTTGGCGCTCGAGATTTCGTCCAGTAATGAGAAGCTTGATGTCTCGGCTTGTTGCGGAGAAAACAGAGCGGCTTTCCTTTGTTTTCGCTTGCAGTGGCCACTTCAGCTGCAGCCATGAGTTTCCCCTTTTCATTCTTTTCTCGAGCGTGATTGACAGTTCCCTCAGTTTCCAAATATTGATCTGCCGTCGTTGCCAACGTGTCCAAGGTATCGCATCCTCGTTACTTCAGGAAGACAGCCAACCTCTCGTCGCACCGTCTGAGGAACTGCTCGGACACCATTTTGTCTCACGGTGCGTCATGGGTTTTGGGTGTCTGCTCCAGCTCTTGCCAGTGGTCGAAATATCCACAGAGACGTCCAGCGAACTGTCGACCGGGTTCAGCATTCTCAGCCATGGCATCTCTGAACTTCATGCGGTATCCCTCCTGTGTGTAGCGGAACCACTGGAGGAGCGTCTGTTTGAGCTTTGCGTATTCTGTAGAGTCTTCTGCAGACATCCATTCTACACCGGTCAATGCTTCTCCCGTTAGGCACAAGCCCAGTGACAGGGCCCACTTGTACATTGGCCAGCCTTCGCTCGTGGCAACCCTTTGGAACCTCTGGATGTACGCATACAGTTCGTCCCTACCCTCATTATAGGGAAGAATCATTTTGTGTGGGCTGCGGAAACTCTGACAAGCGCCCATAGCTATCGTCTACAGAACTCGTGTTCGGACACTGCGCCTCTGCGACGCGACGTCGCTCCGAGCTAACTCACACTCATGATCCTCCTGCGCTGCTAGTCGTGCCTCTTCTCAATCCTTCGCGCTCTGCTCCCTTATTTCTTTTTCGTCTGTGCACACCCATGCCAATAACGCCTCTTCAATCAGCCTGAGTCCCTTCCCTAGCTCAACTATCTTTTTTTCTTCTTCATTTTGGTCTGCTACAATCAAACAACATGAGGCTCTCAGATTTATTGAGAGAGCTTCTTCCTGTTTGGCGGACGCCAGAAATAATTGTACTGTACACAATGAAGGGACTAAGGTTCGTCAACGCTTATTGTGCGTGCCTTGTGAAGAGAAATACACTCTAAGACGACGCTGTAACAACACACACATCGTTTGTGAGAGAACAAAGAAAATAAACATCGAGAACACTCTGAGATACAAAGGTACTTGCAATGTACAACAGACATAACTAAGCTTCATTTAAAAAAAATTGCCCGCAGCTTCCCTCGGGGGAACACTGAGGAGGATGCGGAGCATATAATTGGTTAACGGGGTGTTAAAGTGCGACTTACTTGGGTCGATGGCTACATTGGTTAACGTGGTTGTGAAATGGGGTGTTAAATTGCGACTTACTTGGGTCGATGGCTAAATTGGTTGACGTGGTTGTAGGAGGGGGTGTTAAATGAGTGAACACGTACACACGTATGCGAAAGGGCGGCGCTGGTCGAAGGGACGTCGATCATTGTGTTTGTGGATTCGTTGGAATTCATTTCACCGCGACCTTGGACGTCGACGCGCCGTACAAACCAACCGACGAGCGGCAACTGAGCGAGCGAGCGCCGACCTTGAGTATATATACAGCGCGACGGCGCATGCGCTGTCAGCTGTCGAATGTTCTCGAAGGAGAAGCGCGCGCGCGGCACAGATGGCGACGGCGCGACGGCGCATGCGCTGTCAGCTGTCGAATGTTCTTGAAGGAGAAGCGCGCGCGGCACAGATGGTGGGCGACGGCGCGACGGCGCATGCGCGCGCGTCAGCTGTCGAATGTTCGAGAAGCGGTGCGGAAGGCGCGGACGGCGCACTACAAGGCGCGAGTATAAGATGCTTCCGCATCTAAAAGGAATAATTAGAGTTCAAGTAAGAACGTGCGAAAACCTGAGGACAACGTCCCACCGCAACGGTCTAGTGGCTAAGGTACTCGGCTGCTGACCCGGGATTGAATCCCGGCTGCAGTGGCTGCATTTACGATGGAGGCAGAAATGCTGTAGGCTCGTGTGCTCATATTTGGGTGCATGTTAAAGAACCCTAGGTGGTCAAAATTTCCGGAGCCCTTCACTACGGCGTCTGTCATAATGATATGGTGGCTTTGGGACATTAAACCTCACATATCAATGAATCAATCAACCTGAGGACAAGATGGGCGGTATGGCAGACGCTGATGAGGTGCAGGGCAGGACGCGGGGGAAAGGCGCTATGGAATGCGTTCACGTGTCGACGTGTGGCGCTCTCGAGACGACAGCACTTGACGGCGTGGGTGGGATTACGGAGCAGTCACCCGCATCGGTGACGCAATGCCCGTGCGGAGAAATCGCCAGTCTGTCCAGCGAACAGCTAGCGTCGAGACCCGATGCTTGGCGCACATGTGACCATTAGCCAGGCCACGTCGTCGCTGTGCCAAACGGCTGACTTGGGAGACACCTGGCCGAGGTCCTCGATGCCCTCAGAAAGAGAACAGCAGGTCAGGCCGTGCCTCGAGATGTAGTACTCGTGCCGGCAACGCCGCCCCGGCTGATGGTTGGGCGGCAGCAGCGTGGACCGCCGCGTTCTCAGGCTGAACCCTGGATCGCCTGCGTCCGATGCTTCGGTCCACGATCTTCCATCTGCGACTGCTTCGGCTCATCCCCAGCCATGAAGTGCACCACCACGTAATGTCCACACGTGGCCCAATTGTGGCACGCCACCTATATGGGCCACAACAGGTCAACAGCGGATCGTCTGATCTCACGCGCACAGTTGGCTCGAAATCACACGCACCTTGCCCCGAACTTTCGTCGTTGTCGTCATTTCTCTCAACTTATCACACCTGTCTATATTGTAGAAGGAAACGCTTGTTCCCTAGTTTACTTCGATATCTTTTGAAAACACACAAATAGCAAACGCTTTTCAGTCTCTTTATCCTAGCGCGAGTAAGGTAAGTATAGAACTACCTGTTGCTCTTTTAGGTCAAATTCTTTTCTGTACAGTTATGCATTGCTCATTGCTGTGCTTAAGCCGTTCACTAGAAAGGTTTGCACTTCACGCTAAGTAGCTTGTACATTTCCTTTTTACTAGCAAGGCCTCATAGTTTCCATATTGCCAGACGTAGTATCAATTTTGTAAGTATGCTTTGCTTGGTTAGGTAAGGTTGCTTTCAGGACAATCTCATATCACTAATTGTGTTTGGACAATCTCATATCACTAATTGCTTGTTCTGTCTACAATAGACTTCAAAGATTGCATACCCGGACCTACGCAAACTTATGGTAAGAAAGCCTTCTCTTCTAATGTTTCAAGGTAGCTCAATTGGTAGCTCAATTGCTTTCTTTGTTGCAATGTGTATTTCTTGTTGTAGTGCATAAGGTATGTTGTGCAAAGTAAGATAAATTAGGCCAGCAAGTAGAAACTTTAAATTGAAATTCTAAAGCACACAAAAAAATGTGAGAACTGTCCTAGTATACGGTTTTTACTGTTTTATCAGTCCCCCAGGACGTAGCACGAGTGACAAGAAACTGCTCATTCTGTTGTCCCTGTTTTCAATGGTAACGTGTATTGAAGCCTTTAAATTGGCTGTGTGAAACACAAAGATACCGGAGGTAACAATACAACAATTACGTCCCCGTAAATTAATTATTTTCTGGTGTATTCGTTCGAAACATATAGTATAATGCTGATTTTGTTGCTGTCTTCTTTTGTCTTCATTTCGGACATGATTATTTAGCATTATGGCTTATATGATATCTAAACAAATTTCAGTCCTCGCAAAAAAAAATCATTCCGTTCTATTGAACACTGCGTTGCAAAACATTGAATTCTGGGGAACTAGAGCTAGACCGAGCTGACTCGGCATTAAATATGGAAGCGCAGAATAACGACTTCAGAATATGCGCCTCCGTATTCAAGTTTGAATTCATTGCGCCTCCACTAGAAGCGTTCCTTCCAACTAAAACATTTTTTTCATTTCCACTTCACAAGCGTAGAGTAGTTAGGCATGGTCAAATGCCGGAAAATTGTTCATATTTACCTGCTTTTTTAGTTTTTAGAGGCTTATCAAAGGCATTGCGTGATGTTTTATCATTAGAAAAAACACCTGACCCATTACGAAAAATTACATCGATGAATTATATGCTGCCAGGCTATATAATTTAGAGAATAAAAAGGGCATTCTGTATTGCTAAGTATAAAGGGCGCAAAAAGGAAAGTGCATTAAAAGACAACTTCTGGTAACAAGGACCAGACTTCTGAATTTCTAATAACGCGCCTGATACTCTACTAACTGATCCACAATGGTAGCTATTTCCCCATTCGCTTCATCGGGTATACATATGCATTTAAACGTGGGAGTATCAGTCAGCACGGCTAGTAGCCATGACGGTGAGTGTGGAGCACTCCTATCTTAGTTGTTGGCATCACGTATCACAATATCTTATTACGATTTGATCTCAGACATAAACAGCTGCGTTGAGAATTCGAATTAGGTACTAATGTAATCTCCTGTGACTTTAATATATTCTCAATGAAGCCTAAGCGGTGTGTCCTGTTGCCACTGAATTTTGTATATTTTGTCAGCGGATGAGATTGGCTTATAACAACAAAAGCGCTTATGAGATCACATCAAGAGTCACGTGAATTGTATACTTGTCCGTCTCTGCCACCACCACTGGTGTCTGTAACCCTTATGACACGAAATAATGAAAAAAACTAAATAACTAGGAAACACAAAGGATGCAATAGGGTTCGAACACAGGTCCCCTGCGTTTCAGCCCAGTATTCTACCCCAGCGCCACACCGAGGTTTCAAACCATTGCAAACTCACCGAAGACAGGCTTGATGTCTGAAAAGCAATCCCGTTTAATATGAGTAATAAAGTGTTTTAGTACAGCACAGAAACAACCAGCAGTAGCACAATGCGAATTGAGGTACTAGATGGTTTTGGAATGCCTCAGGTTATTATAAACGCTTCTGACATAATTCTTCATCGTCGTAAGCCACCGCATCAAATGATTGCACAAAATGGCTTGCAAGTGTGCAGCGGGTAGCAAGGTTCCCCGAATAATTGAAAAGTATAGCTTAGCGAGTGCCTGTGTAATAAACAAAATTTACAAATACTTACGGCGTAGTGGGCGCGCTGCGAATGTGCTTGTAGCAGTCACTCGAAGTGTGTTTAAAATGGCTCTGAAATGCCGCTCTTCGACTTTTCACTGTGACTGCACTGCGCTTTCCACGAGAGCTGCGCGTTTTTTTTTTTTTTTGTTGTTGTAAGATACACCACACATTTCAGTCTCGTAGCCTAACTGCCCAGTCATTATTATATAGAGGCAATATTATCAGTGGGCTGTCGCCCATAGGGTAGGTATTCCCCCTCTTGGCGAAACCGTTAGAACAAGTATCAGAATATAAATATCTTGGCGTCACTATAACAAATAACTTGAGCTGGAACAAACACGTAACAAACACATGTGCAGCTTCATTCCGAAAACTTTGCTTCCTTAGACATAAGCTTAGAAAGGCCCCAACAAACGTTAAGCTACTCGCCTATACATCCATAATTAGACCGCGACTGGAATACGCCTGCACTGTCTGGGATCCTCACACAAAAAGTAATATTAATGCTCTTGAAATGATACAGCGTAAATCCGTTCGATTCATTTTTTCAAGCTATCGTCCCAGTGACTCGCCGACTAGATTAATGGAAGAGCATGGCATTCCAACACTTCAATCACGCCGTCAAATTCAAAGGTTAAAATTTCGATTCTTGCTTAAAAATAACAAACTTTCACTTAAACCCGAGAAATTCCTTCAGCCACTCACTTCCCGACAAACACGGCATAGACACCTCGAATCTCTGACTCCGTGCAGCGCTCGAACTAATATTTTTAAGTTTTCCTTTTTTCCGCGTACTATTACAGGTTGGAATAAACTAACTGAATCGGGTGTGATCAATAATCACTCCTTTGAACAATTGGAATTCTGATTGCTTTGTTTTGCAACTTCGATGTACTCTTGTGTATGTGTTCAATGTATTTCCAACAGTGTACCACGTGTATTGCGGATTTTTGTAACTTTGATGCATTCCTGTATTTGTTCAAACTATCTTAATCAGTGTATCATGTGTATTGTGCCTAAATTTTGTTTTTCTCGTGATGCCCCTCCTGCTTGGGCCCTTCAATTGGCTTGCAGTATGTCTTAAATAAATAAAATAAATGAATAAAATAAACTTACTGGCTTCAATGATGCAGGCCATAGAAATGATTGCATTTTCGAGTACTAAATTCTAGGGAAATACTTGGAGAACACCAAAGAAAGTTATGGATTTGAAGGGTATGTAGAGTGTTACAAGGGACATAATTTTGGGCACGACAATATTAGACACAAGAATCCTGCAATGTTGATGAAACATTAAAGAGGGGCAGCTGGCATTTTATTTAAAATTTGAAGAGAAAGCTAGACATGTGCTGGTCACGCAACATTTGGACGATCATCGTTTAGAGCGACGAAATGGCAACGGAGAGCTTCGAAGCAGACCCGGGAAATACAGAAAGTAACATAGGGTTATCAATCAAAGAAAGATGTCGTCGCAAAACACTTATTAGCTCTCACTGGATAAGGTACATTGGATATGATTGGGAGACGTTTTGGTGCTGATTTGAACACCAAATAGCGTGACGATTACGAATTTCATAATAACTACTACCGGGGTTGTTAACGGGGGCATCAAATGACGATATAAGGGTAGATGTTTGGTTGGAGAGCGAATTAATCGGTAAGATAGCTAGAGCTTTCCAGGGAGCGCCTTATGAAATAGCCCTAGAATATACGAGATAACGTAATTTTTCGCCACGCGTGTGTCGCAGATGATTTCACCAGAAATAACTACTCGACAAAATTTCTGATTTGTGGCTAAAGGGGAGCTGTTCAATATGCATCCAGTAAACAGTGGTACAATTTTGTAGCAACTGGGGACATTTGTTTGATCCTTCGTAGTTAACTGTACCAATGGAAGCATAACAGTACAGCACGGAAGAATTGAAGGCACGCCACCGCCGGTTTGCCAAGGGCTCTATTGTTGGAATGGAACCTTGACACCAATCGGGTAAGAGTGTTTTGTTCTGGCTGTTAGCTAATAGTAGTAATCACTGCGAAATAAATAGATCTAGCCGAATATTTTGAAACAGCAGTGGGCCAGTCACTCAATATTCGAAGTTACTTTCTGAAATATGCCAATGTAAGATAGATGGCGATCAGTTCTTTGACAAAGAATATCTGTTGTGAAGCATTACCGAGCGTGCAGTGAATAACCCGCTCCTGACCAAATTTATTGAACGTGGGGACGTTCCACTACTCATAAGATGTCTTTAAAATTTTCAATTATGAACCAAGTGTCATAAAATTTTTATGACAATTTGAAGAAGATGTGTGCTTCTTACAATGTAACTGCTTTGTCATTCCTGGTGAAGTATGCCTTTTGTGTTAGACATTCTATTACACAATGTGTTTAACATATTGCGTGCGTATTCAACTGATGCTGCCCGTGTCCAGCTTATAAGATAACCAGCCCAAAGCAGGTGCACTCGTACTTGTGGTACGATAATATTCCAGAATACTGTGTGTCTTTGCAACGTATTTGCACAGATTTGATTCATTTTTTATCAGTGACTGCGACTAGACGCTCTCGTGAACCTGTACTGAATAAAGCTCAGATATATGCACAACTCGCAGTCACTGCATACACTATTTACTGTCATTATAAAGGCTCCTCCTTAAAACATTTGGATGTATGTGTTTCACATGAGGAAGTGCTCTTACACTTAGTGTTTGCAATATCGGTATCATCAGAAAGAACCTTTACTTAATTTATTAAGATGTAACATGGTGCCTCTGTTGTCGTAAACATAGTAGTACATTATTTAATTGGTAAATCGAATGAGCTATGGTCAGTATTGATGAGAATTTAGCTACACAGATAATGTACGTCACGGCATAGGCGACAAAATGGCATCATGATGCTGCCGGGTTTATTCATTACTGTACCCAAATATTGGTCGCATGCTACATTTTCCTGAAAAGCATTGCTATAAAGTAGTTACAATATAGGCATTACATTATTCTAATGTGTATCCTCATAAGAAAGGCGCTGTTGACGTAATGCACCAGTCGTGAAGCTTTTTCTATCCAAATTATGTGATATCGAGCCGAATGCGGCTGTATTTTACGGCAAACATGCGAGAGATGAGATCGAGGTGTAGAAATCTCCATACCTCAATACGTGAACACAATGGTAGGTCAAGAATGAAATAAAATTGATGCCATCCATGCACCTCAGCCATTCCTTCTGGTGGAATTCCTCAATGCCCATGAGGAACAACAAGGGACGTGACGTTCATACTTGAACGTTTACCGTGCTTACACACCTGGACTGAGTTGGCAACCGGTCAGATAGTGTTGCTTTCGTCAGCGTACCACTTGGCGTATTTTGTGCAACTAATGGCAGTAATTTCATAACATTTCTTGAAATACGCACTTCTCACGTTATTTCTTACGTGTGCTTAAACACATGAACGACAAGTACTCATTGCAGAAATTTAGGCTCTTTAAGCCGGTTACAAAATACTTGAACATTTGGCGTTTACAAGTGTGGTAAAAAACTATCGTCTACATAAAGGAGTGCGTTCCACAGAAACTGGATTAATGTCACTAGCCACCTCTGGTCCACTAAAAATGATGAAGACAACATACGAATGGTAAACACCGCTTAACGTTCCTAGACAGATGTAACCATACATAGAGAAAAGCTTTAATAAACCACTGGAATTAGCACAGTGTTAAGCAATGTGACTACTCGTTTCAGTTCGGTGAAGGATCTGTATGCAGTACTTCAGATGTACGTATACCTATGTACGGTTAGAAAACTGGAAAGAAAGCAAAACGAGTCAGAAAAAATATAGAGATTTTAAACCAGTTTAACATACCTCGTATTCTATCCTGCACAATGGGAGGAGAAGAAGGGATTTAAAAAAGAGTTGAGAAAGGGAGAAAAGCGATTGAGCACACACGCACTCACATAATGTCACATTGTGGCGCGACTGACATTTACAGCCACTAATGCAAGTAAGTTGCCCTTAGGAATCGAAGCAATGCCTCGGTTGCTTGAACGGGAAAGCAAAAGGTTCCCGCTAGATCGCAAGTGATTTCGCAGCAACCTTTCCTTTCTCCAAAAGGATTGCTTTTAAAAATGTCATGTAGATCAGTGCACCAAACTGTTGGTCGACGCGAAATAAACAACGCCTGTACAAGTACAATTTCCGACAGTATACGGCGTCCTTGAAGGTAACAATAAAGTGCAAAGGTATTGTTGTTGGAGCGTCTCACCTGCATAACCACTTCATTTACACAATGGGTGCATGCGCCTCTCAGCACTTTCTTCGCTCCAAGTTTTTCTTTCGTTTTGTCACCTCGAAGATTTAGGCTCATTTCCACAAGGGTCATAATGAACATACTTGATAACGTAAATTTTATTACAATGTTTGTTAAAAGAGGAAGAAATCAGATAAGAGCAAAATGAATGTTAACGTACATTAAAGAAAGCAAAAAAGGAAGATGATACGACAAACCACATTTTAAAAGACTGTAAAAAAGAAGAAAAGGTTCAAAGATTTGAATTCATCTGGTGGTCTCAGTAGCAGAGTATCCTTTCAGTTACCTGAATGAATTTATGTAGCACTGACAGAATAGCACTGTGGTCCGCACCCAACTGACTCGCTCCACACGATAAAATGGCGTATGTATTAACTGCAAATTCCATCATATCAATCGGCCTCTCAAGAAATATTGGGCGGAGTGAGGCTAAGCGGTGGCATGTGAGAAAGAAGTGATCAATTGTTTTCGGTTCATTTCAAACTGCACGAAGGTTAGTTAAAGAAAATCTAGATTTATGAAGATATTGATTTAACTGAGGAACTGTACAGCGAAAGTTTGTGAGGATCACTTAACATTGACTTCATGTTAATGAGTTTGCTCTACCACGCTTCTTTCTTGTTAATTACCACAGCTTCAACACTCAATATACGTAGGATCAGCCATAATTAGTCGCACCAGTATAAATATAAGCATTCGCTGAAATGATTTCTATAGAAACTCTTTCAAACTTTGGATTTTTATGTTTCAGATGTCCGTTACCAAAGCCTGTTCAAAATGATGCGTTCCCTCTCATTCCTAACAATGAATCATGGCCTCTGTGCTGTTATTATAGGCGTGAATGCGACTTGTACAAGTGGAAGTAAAGAAATACGGCCTGGTTGGTGTACGTTATTCCTAACGGCAAAAAATAAATACCATGCATGCTACAAAATATCTTCTCAGCTTCTGCTTCATTTCTTTCTTTCTCTCATAAGTAGTGCATTTGGGGGTTCTGAAGGCCACGTTCTGTAGGTGCATCTTGAGAATTGAAAATATGAGGTTGTATTAACAAGATAAGTCTAGATATGCAGTGTCTCAAAAGGAGCATGTAATTGAAGCAAATAATAAAATTTACAGTTTTCCACTTTAATATATTCTCACGTTATCTTACGTTGACAAAATCGGAGGCAAAACTTTTCACTCAAAAGTGAATTATTCTGCAAGTGTTACCTGGCAAACCACTGCGAGTAGCAGTCATGCTGAAGCGCTAGCGACGTGAATGGTTGTCGATCACTGTAAGCTTTATTCACCGCATCGTTCGCCGCACATTTCCTCTTCGTGAATGAGTCATGTTATAAGATCGGAGCACACACTGGTGGTCGCCTGTTCTGTAGGTGCATACGTCCAAGAGACTTGAAGGTAATCTTGACAGAATAAAAAAAAAGACCATTGATTACTATACACCATAATACACATCTTGAGTGTATCGGCACAACTTTGTTATTTGGTACTGCATTGTTTCAAATGTTTTAAGATAGATGTTGGTCTGTTGCTGAAAGAGTGTACGGAGGCATGAAAATTTTTAAACTAAAGATTCAAATTTGCACGTTCCAGATGAAGCTACTTCATGTCGCTACAAATATGACCACATAAGGCCATGTTGACTGTAATCACAGTTTAACAGTAAAAACTGCAGTAATGAAACACGCTTAGCAATTGGCGTGAAGACAAGTATTGTGTGTTATTTGTAGCACCTCGATCAGTGGGTGCTGCATGTACAGTGAAAGTCAGTGTTCTAATCATACTTATTACTCTTTTCCTTGTAAACATACTTTCTGAGTTATGGTTTTTATATTTCTTCTGAATATAGTTTAAAGTGAAAGGGCGTTTAGTAGGGCTAGTTGGGTGTGGATCATCACAGAAAAACCAGAGGAGCAAGCGAACATCAAAGGACCAACGATTGTTGACTTCAAATCCGTTTATTCTTTCATCAACACACAAATCATACCTCTGACTTAGAACAAACAGATGATTAGACCACGCGAAAAAATTTCTTTTTTCTGCGAAAACGAGTGATTTACGGGGTACTTACACCCTTGTCCTCAAGTTTTTCAATAATGACAATTTTTTATTGCGATAGCATTTATATGGACACTGTTGGCTGTATTTCGCCGCCACAGTGAGCTTGGGCATCGACGTCGATGACATGCACCGTATATGTATGTATACGTATCTACATATATAAAAAAGAAAAAAAAATGGCTGATCCCAGGTGCAGCGGGAACAAATGATAGGTGAAGCATGAATTAGAAATCTTCATATGTCACTTTAAAATCAGCACAATGTTACGAGCTGGAGGTAAATGATATACATAACTTCCGCGTCATGATTACTATGTAAGAATGTGTCGTTTATCTTCGTGATCTATCCACGTCACGTGATACCAACTTTAGTATATGTGGAGCAGGCGAAACGGCGGTGAGCACGCCATGAGCGTGGTATATTGTCATGTTCTGATATGACACGCGTGTCAGCATTACCATGTTTGCGCCAGTCTTACATTTCGTCGTCTATTGACGTCACGTAAGACCAAATTTGGTATATGTGGAGCTAGCAAAACGGCCGCGAGCCCAATTATCGTTGACGCGCGCGCATGCTGAGCACTGCGGCACTACGTTAGCGAAACACGAG